TCTATTCACCATATATATATATATATATATATATATATATATATATATATATGGTGAATAGATCAATATATATATATATCTCATAGGCATTCACTCCCATTTAGTTAGGGGGGAAACAATAATCGCGTCAGTGGAGCAGGGAACTGTGAAATTAAGCAACCTGTAGATTGCAGGCAGAAGTTACTATCCTCCTGGCAAAAGAGAGGCGGAAAATGACTGTAACGTTATTGGGTCTGTGATGAAAATAATAAATGGCGGAATGCCTTTGTCTTTTTAAAGCCTTGGTACATTTCCGAGAAATGTTTATCCTGATTTGTCAAAATTCAGGATCTCCCCCTTCCCTGCTGTCCTCAATATGATGTTTCCAGAATTCTGTCTTTAACTTCATAGCCCCAAATTGAGGAGGTAACCATTACGTTAGAATAAGCCTACTCGGGTGGAAGGAGTACCTCCCCTCTTCATTTTTAAATGGAGCTCAGCTACCTGCATTTCTCAACACGTTTTATTCCCCTACACTCAGGTGCGTGAATTTCCAATTAAAATCTTATAATGAGCCCCATTTATCCATCTCGTATTTCAAAACAAATGGCAAAATATATGTTCTTTTAATATGTGATCTTCCTAGCTTTCTGTCTTGTTCCGGATAAATAATATTTAAAGGACATTTTAAAAGAATTCTCTGATAATCCCACTGTTCACTCAGTTCCTTTGTGCAAATATCCTGAGGAGTCAGTTAGAACGACTCTTAAAACCCCATCCGGATATTCACTCGATTTAGGTAGTTCCACCGAATTTAGCGGGATCCGCCCCCCCCCCAGTGAAACAAGGACTTCCAGTGAACTGTAGTGAAAATACTTTTGGTCAACTACATTTCCAATGAAGTCACCAAACTTTCCCCACCCAAGGTAGTATCCATTCATGAAATAATGAAAAGCATATTAAATTTAAATAATAGAAAAAAATAGTGGTAAAGATGAAAATTCTTCAAGAAGCCAACCTTTGGATTCAAGCATATTATATTTCTGTCTCTCACCATCATAGAATTTTAGTTACCATGGTACCATGAACATGTTATCCACACAATGTTTAAAATATTTCTAACAAGTAATATAATGCTTCACTTTACTGTGAAATAATTCCAGCCATTCAATTGAAAACACACACACACATACACACACATTTCCAATACATCTAAAGCTATTTTATAACTCATAGTTTATTTTTGTACCTTGTTTCCAAGAGCTTTTAGCCATTCCTTGATAAAGCCACTATGAAGCAACTTCAGGTAAGCGATCAAACAAACAAATTAGGAAAAATGTCCATATATTTTCCTGGCATTTTTTTTTCTAATAGTCTCTTGAGAACCTTTGGAATTATAAGTTTAAATGTTAGAAGTCCTCATAGATAATAATCTAAGGAGCATTTTTTAAAATTTTATTTTATCTATAGTAGAGATATAGTTCTGTTCTGACCGATTTTGTTCGGATTGTAACTCCAAGTATTTTGAAAGGCAGCAGAATCAATATTTTACACAAATGCAAACACACACACACACACACATTTATGCCCCAAGGAGTTGAAAAGTTACCCGTCTTGGATTCAGTTAACTTCCCTTACATAACATGTTTACGTAGACAATCTAACACCCTCCCAGCCATTCAAGACAACTGTCCTTTGATAGTCACTTTTGCCTAAAGCCAAAAACATTTCGCGTTTTTCCTTCCCCATCCTTGACGGGCTCTGAATGAGGTTGCGACAAAAAAAAAGGCAAACGTTACAGGAAGCAAGATTCTGGTAGGCTGGTTACTTACAAAGATACTGAGTGGGATTTCCAAATAAAGCTGTTTTCCTCACCCCTCCTTACAATCACTTCATCTCTACATACTTGACATCCTTCAATCCTGACAGTCTTCAGTCAAGAGAGAAAACATCTGGAACACTTTATCATTTTTTTAAAAAAGCCCCTACGTTACCATCGGTTGGCTTAGGCCATTCTAAAATATTGGCATGGCTTCTTGTCAAACGCTAATGGCTTTATCCGCTCTTACTTAAAACCCCGAGGTTTCACACAGGGGTTTCCCCTCCACTCCCCCCTCGCCTTCCGTGAATCCAATGGAAAAGAAATGGCCCATGGTGTATCTCTCATTAGATTAGGTGAAGTTAGTGCTCTCACTCCTAGCGTTTGTTGTGTACCTTGGGAGACATATCTGTGTGTGTGAAAGAGTGAGTGTGTGAGTGTGTGTGTGTGTGAGAGAGAGAGAGAGGAGA